TGTAGACGTTAATAAAACACAATCTAATAGGTAGAAAATTCAATTCATTGTTAGCTTCCGGTTTTCGCTGTATCCCTTCTAGCCACAACCCAATTTCTGCCAGTTTTGGGTTTGTTGGCGTGTTGGGCGGAGCGCGCATGCGCAGACAGCTCACTCTCACACACTCACTGCAGGAGCACGGAGACCTCAGGACACTGGATGAATAGAGGGAGAATAACCGTAAATGTCCAGATGGGAATATGTGGGTAGAGCATGGCGACGTCCTAAAGAAGACAAAGACTTTTTAGATAGCGACACCTCCACTGCCTCTTATAACGCGGGACGTAGAGGATCATTGAGGAGAAAACAGCCGAATTCATATAATAATAGTAATATGGGGTACCAGAATGGATGAAACTCTCTGGGCAGAACCCCACTTTTATTACCGGATCGGCCCGAAATAGATGTGAAAATAAGCCCAACCGAGTGTTTGAACAGCGACCTGACACATGTATGTTACAAAATCTGATCTGTGTGTGACAGAAAAAAGCAAAAGTCCGATTTGATGCGTTGAATTCCTTCGGAGAGATGTCATCGTTGTAAGTGCTGGATGTGAATATGGGAGATCTGACCGACTCCAGAGATCCGAAAAAGACTTTCATTGTTCCTGCCATCAAGTCTTATGATCATTATGATTTTAATAGAGCTAAAATCAGAGCCAGCCTCAAATGGCTGGTGGCCAAAGCCTTTGGTACAGGTAGGTGGCGTGTTTCTCTTTCTGCACCATCATCTTTGTCTCTTGATTTGATTTCCGATGTGTGGCATTGAATGCGTTTGATATCAAACATATGTAAATGTACAAATATAGATTTAAATACGAATGCATTTTATAATGTAAAATTTAGTGTGTTAATAAATGCACTTTGCTCATGCAGACCCCTAAAATGAGGATTTTGTATTATATTATGTTACATAATGTTAATATTCAACGATTGCAACATGTCACTTTATAAACAATCTCATGTTAAGTAAGTGCTGTTTATTAATTGT